CAACTTTGTCAGAACCAGGTGTTACTTATGATTGATAAAAGTTAGTATCTCATTTATTTAGTTGCGAGTTGAACATTTTTTCATATGTATTCATTTATCATTTGTGTTCCTATTTCTCTTTCGGTAGATTGCCTATACATATGCTTGGTTCCTTTTATTTTCTTATTGATTTGTAAAACACTGATTTTCATATCTCCTTGTACACTCCTTATAAGACAATTGGTGCTTTATTTACCATATATCTTGTAATTTTGCTGAGTTTGTTTACTAAAATCACATATAAATTTATCCAGCTTTTCCTTTTAGAAATCTTGGGTTATTTTTACATTCAAATCCTTGATCTATCTGGAATTTATTTTGATATAGAAGTGAAGATGACATTTAACTTTATTTTTTTTTTCTGAAAAGTCTGTTGTCACTATTGTAAATGACCCATCATTCCTGTTAGCATGCATCTCACCAAATTTTCTCATTGTTTTACATGGATTTCTTAACAATCTTGGATTTCCGAAAGAAATATATCACAAGTAATGATAATTTTAGCAGATGAAACACTGGCCACATTGAATAAGAAATTTGAGAGTTAAAAAAATACTAATTCCATGATAATGGTTGAATTATCTAGAGCAGAAAATTTATAAAAGGTATAAGTCCAAAGATTAACCTTTGTAGAGTATCAAATATCAGTTTATATTTAATATTGGAGAAGGTAAGAAAAACAATTAAAGTAGAAGTTTCTCTCACAGGAATTGGAAGAGAACCATGGGAGCATATTGTTGCCTAAGTCAGAGAACTTAAAAAAGTGAAAATTGAGACAAAAAAACCCTCTAAAATTAGTGAGAAAAGCAATTTGGACTCAGTTACATGCACAAAATTAACATTAGAGATCAAAGAGGGAATAGTATGAGTAGAGGATGTCTCAGTTTGCAGATTATTCTTTCTAGAAGTTGGAGATGCCAAGGAGAAACACAGCGGAAACCATCTCTAAATCAAAGATGTTTTTAATCTGAATCAAGATTTGTGCAATTTTAAAGGCAAAAGAGAAGCGATGAGAGGCAGTGGGCGAATGAGAAAGTGTGAGAGCTAGAATATCCTTCAGAAGTCAGGAAGGATTAAAAACTATGGTATCACTGTAATTTTGAGGAAAATAGGAGCAGCTAAGGACAGAATGCCAAACTAAAAGATGTTCTATTCCACGAAGTTAGGCTTGGCATTTGGGAAACTCTAAAACAACTAATCTAAAAATTAGTTGAATGACATCTAAACATTTAAATATGAATGTAAATTAATATTCTAACAAAGTCCAAAAATGTCAGTATTACTTAGTAATATCCATAACTTTCTGGGAAAGATAACAGAAAGTTAAGAGAAAACATTTGAAGTATTGCAAATGGGGATTTAAGCAAAATTAAGGGCAAAATTTGAATATATAGATGCTGTAGTAACCCCAGAGGAGAGTGCCAGTTAACTTAAACTGATGTATATGAAATTCTTCCTCTGATGAAATTTTTAAAACACCAAATTGTAAAGATTAAGAGCACTGAATTTGTTATCTGTTAGGTATCTGTTATGTATTTATAGGCTGATAAATCATAGATTTTAATAAAATTCCTTTTATCCGTAAATATATTCACCTATACCTATCAGAACATTTTTATATTCTTTGTGAGCAGCAATGGCTTTATTTCTTCCCAGTGTGTGTGTGTGTGTACGTCGCATATATATAGGTCATACACACACACACATATATATACATGTAGGCAAATAAAAAATATATATACCCATATTATACATACATGTATACAAATATACATATATACATATCTATCTCCAAATATATACATACATATATATATACACAAATATAAGCAAATAAAAATCGATCATGAAATTGTCCCAAAAGGTCTTTTGGAAAATGCATTTTCCAAAATTATGTAACATTTATCTTTTATCCAGAATAAACTTAAACATTAATGTTGGCTCTCAAGTAATCATGGCAAAGCAATTTTAAATAAATGTTTCTTTTTTTGGAATCTTTGAATAAACAAGTTTTCCTTTAGTTTATATTAGGTGATATTTATTTTACTTTGATTAGATTGAAAACTGATTTTATTGCTCTATTTCCTGAACATTTCAAAGTAATTTTCAGAGTCTAATTGAACAAACACATCTTATTAGTCTTTCCCTGAGATGTAATAATTTAAACAATCTTATTTGTACTTAAATACAAAGGAAAATTGAATCCAGAAGGGAAATGTAGCAAGACAAAAGGCCACTGTATTTTAAGAATTATTTTTCCCAAAATCTGACTGGTATTTAATTAGATAAGGAAGAAAACCAGACAATGAGGAACTTAGGAACATTATCCCTTGCACCTGGCAATACTTGCCATAACATTAAGCTATTTCCTGAATTAAAATTGCGTTGCTTTCAATTCTCCATAGATGAATATAAAGTCTCTGTTTTGAGAGACCACTTGGTCTTGTTATAGTTTATGAATCCCTTGAAAGAAACCATGAGAAAATAGGTAACTTTGACATACCCAGTATATGAACTATTTATCCTTTTATAATTTTACATTTCAAAATAAAATGTACTACATGTATTCTTGAGTATGTCTTTATATCAAGTTCTCGAACGTAAAATAACTCTACTTTTGGTCTTTTATAATTTTCATGATGTTGCAGTTTAAAAATGTAGTAGGATGTCCCCCTCTCTCTGTGGCTGCAACTTTCTTTAGGACAGACAGATCTGTTGCAGACCTACTAGAGTCAGCCTTAACTTCTAGAGTTCCTTGGAGCTTTCATTTGAGAAACTATATTTCTCAAAAAAAATGCTGCATTCTTCTCTTATTACAAACAAACCTAGATATTAGTGGTGGCTTTCAGATAATGATAACAAAGCAACTCAGCCTTATTTTTTTAGAAGAATACTTCAGCTTAAGAGTTCTGTTTATTTTTTAAGAAATGATGAAAACACATTGCTTTGATTAATGATCTCCATGAGCCTCCTAGGAACTTAATATGCAAGTTCAGGTTTTCATTGACAAGGGATTTCCCACTTTTCATTTTAAATGTAATTAATTATTTCCATGTATATGATATTAATATTACAACACATTGTGTTCCCTAGTGAAGACACAGTTCAGTGTTAGGCTTCTTCATATTTGCCTTTGATCTTTATCCTAAAGAGCTCCTTGTAGCAGAAGCTTAATAATTTAGAGCCACAACCTTGACAAAAATCAGGAAGAAAAATGAAATTACAAGAGATAATGAAAGGGTGAAAATAAATATAGAGTTACATACTTTTCTTAAATAATAAGCTCTCAGGAGTTCTTGGTTGAAAAGACTATGCTAGGAGTGTTAGAAGAATTGTAGATGATATTCCTGCAGTTTATCGCTTCATAGGAAACAGAGACAACCTACTTCAGTATTGGGCCCCATTTGCCAGTCTGGCGTGGATGTGGGAAGTACAGATAATGAGGACTAGGAAGAGGGAGGAAATACTACATTTCAGGAGTGCTGAACTGTTCAAATTCTTTGTGACAGCTCCTATTCACCAATATCCAAACTAAAATCCCACTTGCCCTTATCTACAATGGACAAATGGGAGATATTGGCAGTAAGGAGGCAGATAAAGGAAATCATCCAGACCATGAGGTAAGGTCTGGATGGCTGCTCCAGGGTAGTTTTTGGAATTCCAGAGGATAATCTTGCAACTCAAACATCTAACAGTAAGATAATTCAGCCTTGAGAATGAAGCTCAAAATAAATACGTGGATACTCTGGACCACAAAGTTTGTTTGTTTAATAATATATAGGATAGGGAAAAAATAGATAAAATGAAAATAGAAAAGCAAATAGGATTATATGATATACCCAGAAAAAATTTCTTACAATCAATTATTCAATAATGTGATTCCTATATTTCTTATATTAAGCAAGAAATGAGGCCAATAATCTTCATTTATTGAAATATTTTGTATTATTGACATTATTCCCTTGGATAATTTGTCTTTCTAAAAATCAAGCAACTAGAGTAAATTACTTCTCTATGATACTTTTAGCTTTTTGAATTAACAATCTAAATTTTGTATTCAAATTCATGCTGACAACCCAATTCTTTCAATGTATACAAGTTAATATATTCATATTTTCCAAGAATCAATCCTTATTCCTAAAACTATGAAGAGATTAAAAGTTAATTCATAACATCATGAGGTGAGTTCTATCATGCACTGGGACAGGAAGGAATTCCTTACAATTATATCCTATCAACAAATAATCTTTAAGCACTGATTTTATGCAAGGCAGTTTGTTAGTTCTACAAAATATTAAAAAAAGCAGCTCCTATTCCTAAAGAATATTGCCGCTGACCTAGTTCTGATTGCCATCTTTTCTTACTTTTATTGTTACAATAATTATGTAATTGTTCTTTCCTCATTCAGTTCCTTCTGCTTTAAAGCTGCCTGAATTCTCATGTCATACCCTTCTTAAAATTTTCCTATTTTTCCCTTGCCCTAAATTGCTTAGCATGTAGCCCAAGATTTTCCAATATGTGATTCCAGTCAGTCTCTCCTAGCTTTATCTTTACCAACATCCCTCCCATGTACACTACATACATCACAAAAATACTCATTCTGCAAGAATTTTGTGATATTTTACCTTTTCCCTTGACCTGATATGTCTTTATTAATTTATATCCATTTCTTGTCCATCAAATTCAAATTCAAATCCCACATATTCCAAGAAATCTTCCCTCATCTTTTCCTACCTTGAAGGAAATATTTCCTGTTCTGTGTTTCAGCACCACCTAGTATATTATGGTATTATTTCATTCTCCTTTTGCATCATATTTAATTGCTTTTTTGGTCTCCCCTTTGCCTTGAAACTATTTTGATTCTTGTTTCTTTTTTCTGTACAGATGTCTTTCATTGAGGACCATTTCAAATCCTTTTTTTTTTTTCTTTTTCATAATAAACTTTATTGTGACAGGCAGGGCTAGTCCCTCCCATGCTGGGAGATACTGTGTGGCAAGTGACAAAGCTCTGAGCCTAGCTCTTTTGGGGGCTGCAGTGGTAAGGATGGCGAAGGGGATGGACCCCATGGCTGGGGTAGTAACATGACTGGAGGCATCAAGTGTGCGTTGAAGCTGGGGTGAGGAGCAGGTGGAGACTGACTGGCACCTAGCACTGGGAGCACATTTGGATGCGAGAAAATCCTGAGACGGGGACACTCCTCATTGAAGTCCCTGCTCTTCCTTGTACTCCAGTCTCGAACCTTTAGCACTGCCCTGCCAACGGCCCTTCCATAGTTTTCCAGAGTGATTCTCATTGAGCTTTGCCGGAAAGTTGAGCTGTTTGAAGTCAGTGCCAAAGTGTTTGTTCAGAGTCCCATTTCTGGGCTGAGTGAGGGTGGTTCCCTTCCAGAATGTGTCCTTGTATAGAATATGGTTAGGGTTGTGGCCAATCTTCTCTGCACGCTCTTGGAGGAGCTCTCTCAGGGGTGCCTTGGCTTTGTCCACAGGCATCTCTCCATACTTGTTACAAATGCTAACAAGGGCCCCATTAGCCACCAGGTCCTCTGCAACCTGATCTTGGCCCCCAAAACAGGCATAGTGCAAGGGCAGATTTCCATGCTTGTTCATTGCATTGATGTTAGCTTTATACTGCAGCAGCTTCTGCACAATATCACGGTGTCCATGACTGGCTGCCAGGTGCAGGGTGGTGTTATCCCTATGGTTCATCACATTGATTTGTGTCCCCCGTATGATTAGCATCTCAACCACAGCAGAACGGCCCTCTTGGCAGGCCCAGTACAAGGGGGAGAAGCCATGATCACCCCCGTGGTTGAGGTAGTTCTCCATGGTGTTCAGCCACAGGTGAACAGCCACTGCGTTGCCCCTCTGGCACTGAGTGAAAATGTCATCCATAGCAGCATCTGGGCGCTGAGTCCCCTAGATTGGGGAAGACTGTAGACAGGACTCGGGCTGGGAGGAGCCTTCTTTGGGGAACTCCCCTCCAGCCGAGCCCGCCGTTGGTCCACCCCTGGCCCTCTCCAGACAGCACGGGCCCCCATTCCTCCCTCCTTCTCACCTCCCTTGCCCTTCTCTCAAATCCTTTTTTTAAAGTTTTTATTTAAATTCCAGTTAGTTAACATACAGTGTAATATTTGTTTCAGTTGTATAATATAGTGATTCAGCACTTCCATACAACACTCGGTGCTGATCACAAGTGCCCTCCTTGATCCCCATCATCTATTTAACCCATCCCCCTACCCACCTCCTCTCTGGTAACCATCAGTTTGCTCTCTGTAGTGAAGTGCGTTTCTTGGTTTGCCTCTCTTTTTTTCCCCTATGTTCATTTGTTTTGTTTCTTAAATTCCACAAATGAATAAAATCATAATGGTATTTGTCTTTCTCTGTCTGACTTATTTCACTTAGCATAATACTCTCTAGCTCCATCCATGCCATTGCAAGTGGCTAGATTTCATTCTTTTTTATGGATGAGTAATATTCCATTATATATATATACCACTTCCTCTACATCCATTCATCAGTTGATGGACACTTGGGCTGTTTCCATAATTTGGCTATTGTAGATACTGCTGGTATAAACCATGGGGTGGCTGTATCCCTTTGAATTAGTATCTTTGTATTCTTTAGGTAAATACCAAGTAGTTCAATTGCTGGATTGTAGGGTAGTTCTATTTTTAGCTTTCTGAGGAAACTCCATACTGTTTTCCAGAATGGATGCACCAGTTTGCATTCCCACCAACAGTGTAGGAGGGTTCCCCTTTCTCCACATCCTCTCCAACACCTGTTGTTTCCTCTGTTGTTGATTTTAGCCATTCTGACAGGTGTGAGGTGATACCTCATTGTAGTTTTGATTTATATTTCCCTGATGATCAGTGATTTGAGCATCTTTTCATGTTTGTTGGCCACTGCATGTCTTCTTTGGAAAAATGTCTATTTATATCTTTTGCTCATTTCTTAACTGGATTATTTGTTTTTTGGATGTTGAGTTCGATAAGTTCATTATAGATTTTGAATACTAGCCCTTTATCAGATATGACATTTGCAAATATCTTCTTCCATTCTAGGGCTGCCTTCTAGTTTTGTTGATTGTTTCCTTCTCTGTGCAGAAGCTTTTTATTTTGATGACATTCAATAGTTAATTTTTGTTTTTGTTACCCTTGCCTCAGATGACATATCTAGAAAGAGGTTGCTATAGCACATGTCAAAGAAGTTACTGCCTGTGTTCTTCTATAGGATTTTTTATGGTTTCAGTTCTCACATTTAGGTCTTTAATCCAATTTGAATTTATTTTTCTGTTTGTGTAAGAAAATGGTCCAGTTTCATTCTTTTGCATGTGGCTGTCCAATTTTCCCAACACCATTTGTTGAAGAGACTGTCTTTTTCCTGTTGGATATTCTTTCCTGCTTTGTCAAAGATGAATTCAACATATAGTTGTGGATTTTTTTCTCGTTTTTCTTTTTTGTTCTATTGATCTATGTGTCTATTTTTGTGCCAGCACTGTACTGTTTTGATCACTACAGTTTGTATTATAATTTGAAGTCTGGAATTGTGATGCCTCCAGCTTTGCTTTTCTTTTTCAAGATTACTTTGGCTATTCCGGGTCTTTTCTGGTTCCACATAAATTTTAGGATTACTTGTTCTAACTCTGTGAAAAATGCTGTTGGTATTTTGATAGGGATTGCATTAAATGTGTAGATTGCTATGGGTAGTACAAACATTTTAACAGTATTTGTTCTTCCAATCCATGAGCATGGAATGTCTTTCCATTTCTTTGTGTCGTCTTTAGTTTCTTTCATTAGCATTTTATAGTTTTCAAAGTACAGGCCTTTCAGCTCTTTGGTTAGGTTTTCTTCCTAGGTATCTTATTGTTTTTGGTGCAATTGTAAATGATTCCTTAAATTCTCTTCCTGCTGCTTCATTGTTGGTGCATAGCAATGCAACAGATTTCTGTATGTTGATTTTTTATCCTGTGACTTTACTGAATTAATTTACCAGGTTTTTAAATTTTATTTATGAGAGAGAGAGAGAGAGAAAACAGGTGGGGGGAGTGGCAGAGGGAGAGGGAGAAGTAGACACCCCACTGAGCAGGGAGCCCAACTTGGGGCTCGGCCTGATCCCAGGACTCTGGGATCATGACCTGAGCTGAAGACAGACACTTAACCGACTGAGCCACCCAGGCACCCCTCATTTATCAGTTTTAAGAGCTTTTTGGTAGTCTTTTAGGTTTTCTATATAGAGTGTCATGTCATCTGTAAATAGTGAAAGTTTTACTTCTTCCTTGCCAATTTGGATGCCTTTTTTTTTTTTCTTTTTGTTGTCTGATAGCTGAAGCTAGGACTTCTAGTACTATGTTAAAAAACAGTGGTGAGAGTGGACATCCCTGTCTTGTTCCTGACCATAGAGGAAACCTCTTAGTTTTTCCCCATTGAGGAGGATATTTGCTGTGCGTTTTTCATATGTGGCTTTTATTATGTTGAGGTATGTTCCTTTTAAACCTACTTTGTTGAGGTTTTTGTTTTTTGAGGGTTTTTATCATGAAGGGATGTTGTACTTCAAATCCTTTTTTTAGGGGCACCCTGGAGGCTCAGTTGGTTGAGTGACTGACTCTTGATTTGGGGTCAGGTCATGATCTCAGGGTCATGGGATCTAGCTCCATTCAGCGGGGAGTCTGCTTGAGGATTTTCTCTCTCTCCTTCTTCCTCTGCCCCTCCCCCCAGTCGTGCACACTCTCTCTCTTTCTCTAAAATAAATAAATATTTTTAAAAATATGTTTTTTAGGGGTAAAAAGATTATATCAGTGAATAAATGTCTTTTCTTCTAGGTTGAACATTAGATAAAGGCAGGACCACATCGTGGTTGCTTTTACCTTAATCAATAAATACATGCTAATTGGATTGAAGGTGATATAAATTGAATTGTTTTCAACACCAATTAAATGAAAGATGCTTCAGAAAGAATTTTTATAAATAAGAAAGAGACCTGAGGTTTGCTATGCAAATTCATACTAATACTGAAAATCCTTTGAGTGGTAAGTCACTTTGTAGGTTTCATGTTTTGTCAGACACAATTTATATTTCAAATTATGGAAGGATTGAAAGTTGTAAGAGTAAGAATAATTTCTGATATGATAAATTAATATCAAAGCAAATGCTAATTTTATAAGGAATCAGTGGGGTTATTTAACCCTAGGTACTTTTGTTTGAATATTACTGGTTCTGGCTAATGAATGAGAAATTAATAGAGAGAAAATAAAGTAGCACAAGTATACACCAGACTTAGTAAATACCAGAATGAGAAAACACCCATAGTTTATCTAATCAAACCATGTGTGTTGGTTCCAGACACACCTGATGGCAGGGACATTTGCCTGGAGGGCAGTGTTCTTCATGAAAATATTTAAATGCATCTATGTTACTTTATTCATTTTTTATAAGCCATTATGTCATTCATCTATGTATTTTTCAAATACTCCTTGAATCTGTTAATATTGTCAACTTGTAACACAGCTTTAACAGATTCCACCTACTGACTCAAGCCAATCAAATCCAAATAATATTTACCAAGTGCCTATGATAAGCCAGCCTCTATTCTGAGCAATGTTATTCAAAAGCATAACAGCAGACTTTGTTTTAAGAAGATTGGCTAACATAAACACTGTTATAAAATAGCATGATGAAACAGCCAGTGGTAATTTTACATAAGTATTAGAAGAGCTTGGAAGAGAAGCTTCTAATCTGTACCAGTAGGTCTAGAGTTGGCTTTCAGGAAAAATTGAAGACTATTAGAAAACTTGAAGCAAAGTTACACAGTTAGAAGTGAGGGAAGATGGAAGAAATGGAAATTCCAAGCAGAGGAGAAAGTGTGAGTTAAAGCACAGAGAAGCATGAATCAGTAGAACTGGAAACTGCTGACAGTTCAGGGTTGCTGAAAGATAAACCATCCTCAAACTGGCATGAAAGGTATGACCAGTATTTCTAATGTCTTAGAATTTGGTCAATAAAACTATGGTTGCTTTCTCTTTTGTGTTGCACGTCTTTAAAAAAAAAATTCTGACCTTTTAGGACAACAGTCATAATAGGTATAATGGTAATAATATATATCATATAATATATAATTAGATATTATAGATAAACATATATTATACATAATAGATAATACACAATAATATATATTATGTATATATAATAATACCTATATAAGTGTATACATAATGATATGTATATATTATATGTAGTTATAAGACATAATTATATATAATTTCTTAAAGGCTTATGTGCCAGACATTGCGCCAAGTTTTTTGCAACTGTCATCCAACTTTATCCTCACAAAATCATTTGAAGTAGATAGTATTATCAGCCCCATTTTACAGAATGAAGAAGTGAACTTAGTTGTCCAAGTTCTTATTGTTACCAATAATGGAATCCAGATAATCTTAGGTGCCTTCACTGAACACTTGAAGTTTCTCTGTATCATTTCGAGGTAGTAATTAACCTTTCATTAATTGCATTGTATTTTTTTTAAGATTTTATTTATTTATTTGACAGAGAGAGACACAGCTAGAGAGGGAACACATGCAGGGGGAGCGGGAGAGGAAGAAGCAGGCTTCCCGTGGAGCAGGGAGCCCGATGTGGGACTCGATCCCAGGACCCTGGGATCATGACCTGAGCAGAAGGCAGGCGCTTAACGACTGAACCACCCAGGCACCCCTCATTAATTGAGTTTTTAAGCAAAGAACTTTTTAAGTGAACAATTCTAAGGTGTGGTTTGTCATTTTCTCTGTTCTCCAGAATGATGTGGAATTTCCTATGGAAAATCTTAGGACCCCATTCGTCACTGATGTTCTTTGAGAAATAGTTATTTTGGCTCCTCAAAGCTCTTTAACTCTCTACGCCACT